GGGTGCACTGGCATACGGGTAGGGGGTAGTGAAATAGGCTTGGGGGTAGGGGTTGTGCGGGTAAGGGTTGGGGCGAGGGCCAAGAAGGCCCGGGTGTGGGTTCGGGTTAGGGAACTGTCCAGTGTGCTGCCCGTGGGTGTGACGTGCATTTGACCCGGAGTTTCTGCCGCGACCACGACCCCGCTGCTGTCCACCACGCTGCCGGTTGAACTGCGACTGTTCACGACCACCTCCTCCGCTGGAATCTGCTCGGCCTCCACTGGTGCTGCCATAGCGCCGTGAGGCGCCACTGCCGGGACCTCCACTGTCGGCGTATATCGCTGTCCCACCGTCCCCCGTGACGCTGCCGGGCCCCAATTCTTGCCGCTGCTGTTCAATGAGGAGAAGGGTCGAGCGGGTTTGAAGAAAGGTCGGGGGCGGTGTTTGATATTGGAGGAACGAAGTTTGGCCCCGAAGGTCGTCCAGGAGGCCGCGAAGGAGTTGGAGGACAAGCTATTGTTCGGAAACTGAGGCATCCACATCATCCAACCAATCCGCGAGGTTACGAAGGGTTTGGCAGTAGGCGGCCATAGAGAGATAGCCCTTCGTGGTAGTGCGGAATTGGTGCTCGAGTTGCATTGCCCGAGCCGCTTTGTTGTCATGGAAGAGGTTGTAGATCGATGTCCATAATTCGGAGGCGGAATTTGTGGTGGAGAGAACGAGATCGCATATCTCATCATTGACCGTGGACAAGATCCACCCTTGAATGAGGGCGTCTAGTTGAAACCATTCGGCGTCGTCGGGGCTTGACGGCGACGACTTTCCGGTGAGAAAATCGCCGAGGGAGAACCGGCGGATGAGAAGAAGAAAGAGACGGCTCCACTTTTTGTAGTTGGGCTCAGAAAAGCTGAGAAGGATTGGTACATGTAGCTTGACGTTTGAAATAGTTGTGAACGCCAAGGGGGAGTCGGGGATGAAGATGGCGTGCTGGTGGCGGAGACTTTCTCTGACATGGTGTTGTGATGGAGAAGTTCTGCCGAGGGAGAGAGAGAACTGCCGAGTGAGAGAGAGAGCCTGCAGGAGAGGAGGTGGTGCTGCTGGGTGGACGCCGGCGCTGAGTTCGGCCGTGAGAGAGAGGGAGGCGCTGCTAGGGTTGGCAGCGACGCTAGGTTGAACGAGGGAGAGAAGGGAACGAATGCTCTGATACCATGAAGAATGAATAATTTCGATGATCAATTACGGAGGACTAAGCCTCGTATAAATAGTACAAGGGAATCCTAACTACGGAAGGAATCCTATACAAGGCAACTACCATATTAACAATGATTACAACATTAATATTAAATATATATATATATATATACTATATTTAACACTAACACTCCAATCGCTCTAGCAAATAGTCGACAATAACATTTTTTCTATTTGTTTAGATTATATTTTTAAAATGTAATCATTTTTTGTATTTAGTTCTTGAGGTTAAATCTTTTCAAAGTCCAAAATGTCTTTCTTATTAAAAATATCTGCATTCATTATAAATCATATTTTTGAAAAACAAAATGTATAAAATACAAACTTATCCGATTCGTATACGTAATGCAAACGTATGATTAGATGTATTTTAAAAATATGATCCGTATTAAACAGGAACATACGAATAGATCGACGCATTATACCCGTATCTAAATAAGCTAACAGAGCTAGTAGCTAGTGTGTTTTTATAACAATACTCCGAAAAAAATCTTCAATTTTACAAGATTATTTATCCAAAATTGATTATTATACTATTACTCCAACAATTGCTCTATTCTTATAAAATATTTTACCTGCCACCTCACTTGCATAATCATATTGGGTAATATCTACATAAATTTTTAAGTGATGACTGGAAAACAAATCACATTTTCTAGTTTTCATACAAAAAAATTACTTATTCTTTCTCCAACTCAAATATAAATCTCCTACTTTAAAGGTTTGTTCTTTTGAATTAGAAAAGTCAATTTTTGACTTTTTAAAATTCTTTCTAACCTTTTCCAACTCTTTACAACTTCTTTCAACATTCAACTTTAGAATTCTTACCAAAAATAGCATAACTTAATTGTGAGAGACATGATTGGTATTTGAAATAGAGGAGGATTAAGTAATTTATCTTTTACAAAAACTAAAAAAAGTATGTTTTTCAAATAATCACTTTAAAAATCTATTTAGATATTACACAATTTTATTGTGCAAGGTGGTGAATAGTGTTTTTTGTAAAAAGAAAGCAATTTTGATGTAATGGTGTAAATAATTGGTTTTTGGAGTATTCTTATAAAATCAGGGAAGCACCTTTTGAATCAATTATTACTAAACACCCGATTCAAAAGGTCCTTTTAGGTGTTGGCGCTCAAAAAAAATCAAGGGAATGTGAGTTCATTTGCAAGTGGTCAACCGGTTAGATTCAAAATGGGCCGGTTGTCCACTTGAGGGGGAGTCCAAGAGTAAAATTATCGGTATATGCGCTTTTGAGTTGAACTAACTAATCGATTGAGTTCAATCCTTTAATATGTTTCAGCCCAAATGTCTTATTGCTCAATCCAGTTATCTCTACCCAATCTTAAATTCTATCACATATGAATCGCATTGTATAATATCTACACTCAGTCCCCCCGGTTATTGTGGTATTCCGGAAAGATCAATCCACTCTGGCCTAGCCTTAAGCTGAGGCATTTCCCTTTTCCTAAGAGCATGGGCAATGACAAGTAAAAAATGGAATGTCATATGGTGACGTTAGTATTTTAACCAATTAGAACCAGTCTAGTCAACATGTGGCGAGTGAGTGAAGTGACATTCCTTCAAATGGCAAGTCATTATTTTTGTTAATTTTTATACTTTTAAACAAGTTTTAATTATTAAAAATTATTATACTTATCCTTTTTTCATAAAAATAGATGTACACTTTTTTTAAAAAAAAAATCTTCTCTTTTACAAAAAAAATTAATAAAATTAAATTAATTGCACGTAAGAGGGCGTGTTAGAATTTGCTCCTTTTGTCCCAAAGAGATCTTTTTAATTATTTTTGTGTCCTAGAGAGTCCTTCCTCTTTCTATTAAAAACTAATTTTTATCCTTACTAATTCTAACTCTAACTATTACATTATATACATTTTTGAGTAAATTTTCAAAAAGGTACTAATAACTATGTGTTTTTCCAAATTAATTCCAACATTAATTAACTAGTTCGTGAGATAGTATTCACTAATTGAGAATAATACTCAGCTCAGTTCCCCTGACTAACATCCATTAAAAGTGTGTTAATTAATAAAACAAAGTTAAACCTTAATTATTTTCCCAAAATGGTACTTTCTTGGGAAAAAGACTAAAGTATGAGTAAAACATTGAAAATATACCAAAATAGGACTTTTATGTTTTTATTCTCGAAATAGAAGTTAAAATGCATTTACATTACGAAAGGTGGTCATGTATATATATTACCAGAAAGTATAGTAATGTGCTAAATGTTAATATGAATTTAAGAATTTAAAAAACCAAAGTCATAACCTGTTGGGTCGACCCAAACCCGATGGCACTGGGTCATGAACATACAGTTTTCAACCCGAACCCGAATTGACCTGAACCCGAAATAACCTAAACTCGAAGTGACCGAATCCGAACTCGACCTGACCGATCGATTTGCCAGCTCTGATATATATATATATATATATATATATATATATATATATATATATATATATATATATATATATATATATATATATATATATATATATATATATATATATATATATATATATATATATATATAT